AGCCTTTTGAGGACCGCCGCTGGCAAACCCTTTAAGCATGGTCCCTTAGAAGGGGCCCCCACCCTGTAACAGTGGTACAATAGGAATATATTAGGGCACTAGTATAATCCTTATAGTCACTATTACAGGGTGGGGGCAGCTTCTAAATGGTCCCCTTGAAGTAGGAATCCACAGATTCATTGTTTAACTCCCTCGGACCAGGCGCATGCCGATGTACTGCAGCGACTGGACGGATCCTTTCAAGGCCATCCAGTCGGGTTTAGGGTTTAAGGGCTACAAGGTTTCAGAATTATGATGGGCCTCGCATTGTTTAAAGGTTTAGGGTTTATGCCTGAGCGGCGCGGGATTTTTTGACTTCTGAATCGACGAGCCACGAAATGGTGGAATTGCTTACAGCTACGGTTTAGGTTTAGGGTTTAGGGTTCTTGTGTCTTGGCTTTTGCGGCTCTCGGGTGGTCCTTATCTTGAGATTGACTTAGGAAGCCCAAACCCTAAAGCTGGGGCTTATGGGTTTAAGTTTAGAGGTATTCATTGGCAATCCAGATGCCTCATACCCTTGGCAATCCAGATCCCTCATACCCTCGGATTGAAAACCGCCGTCCTAATATGGGTAAGCTTTCATTCTATCCTCTTTTTGTTGTAATAGAGGGATAGATAGCAAGACAGTATTACTAATACTATTACACTATAGTTGCATCTTATTTTTGTTGCTGTATTATCTTTAACAAGAACCCCAAAGCCATATTCATTTGATCAGCAAGGCCCCTATGTCACCACGCCCCCGAGGTAGTATTCCGACTGCCCTCATGGTCCTTACCAATATGCACTTGGGGCACGTAGGTACAAGGAGAACTACGGTTGGTGATATACATCCAGCATTACCCAGAATAAGGAATCTGCCATAACTCCCATAGTTTAGGGTCCTTCAGGTAATGCAGGGTTTATACCATCAACCGTAGGATGCCCCAATTTAGACTACAGGCGTGCCTTTTTTTGCTCCTTGAAAGAGCACTAGGGTCAGGGCTTCTGAGCCCGTGGAACGCCTGGCAATCGCAGGCGCAGGGTTTAGGAGTCCTTGCATTAGATACAGTTTCAATGAACATGTAAGATTCTGTAAGATCGTAGTTTTTTGCCTAGGGGCCCTTAATAGAATTCTAGTATCACCAGCCCCAATAGTGAACACATCCAGACCTCCCACAATACTTCCCTGGGTTCGAGTTTTTTTTCGAGGTTCTACAAGGGTTCTATAAAGGTTTTATCGGGGGTTCTAAAGGGATTAAGCCTGGCTTCAGCGCAGGTCTGCACTATAACTGGGGTTGACAGGGTACTGGTCATACCGTATGCCTGCGACTTCTGACCTTGGAGGCTTGGACGTTAAAGCACAACTCTATCCGAACGTCCTCCACCCAAAACCACCCTAAACCCTAAATCAGAAAACCCTAAACCCTAAATCCGAAATCAGCAAACCCTGAACCCTAAACCCTAAATCAAAAAACCCTGAACCCCTAAACCCTAAATCCGACAACCCTAAACCCTAAACCCCTAAACCCCTAAACACTAAACCCCTAAACCCTAAAGCCGACGTCAGGGCGACAACCCCCAGAAGTCCGTCTCCTCCATCTTGTATCTGCTCCTGGGCTTTGGAGGGATTAGGGTTTAGGGATTAAGGTTTAGGGTTTAGGGTTTAGGGATTAGGGTTTAGGGTTTAGGGATTAGGGTTTAGGGTTCAGGGATTAGGGTTTAGGGTTTAGGGTCTAGGGATTCTTCTTCTCCTTAGTAGTAGCATCTATATATCATAGGAGGCCAAAAGGGGCTTCAGCCTATGGGGGTTTAGTAGGGATTAGGGTCCCCATAATAGGGTTCATACTAAAGAATCCCTACCCCAAGAATCTTAAACCCCCCTTTTGGCATCCCATCATACCATGCTTTGACACATTTTCTGGGACCTGTTACTTAAAGGGCAGCAGTACGGTTGATGATATAAATCCTGCATTACCTTAAGGACCCTAAACTATGGGAGTTATTGCATATTCCTGATTATGGGTAATGCAGGATTTATATCATCAGCCGTATGAAAAGAAAGTCTATACTTTATTCGCCCTGGTTACTTCAAAGCCCAGGTTCATTGCAGCTCTGGCACCAGCAATCACGCCGCCCGGCTTCGTGAGAGGCTTGCGAAGGATTTAAAACAGGGGCTTAAATAATAATTCCCTATACTAGTTTGGGGTTCCTTATCTCACTATAGCAGAACATACCCCAAAACCCTATTCTAGTTGTTAAGGCCACTACATTATGGGGTTGTATCGGGTTGATAACACAGAACAGAGGCTCTAAAGGACCGTGATGTTCTTCCTGAGGGGAAGACCACGGGAGTTCTCCAAGAATCCCGTGCCCATTCCCAAACCCTTAAGGGCGAAAGCCGGAAATTTGGTGTTGGTTTGAACTAAGCCCTTAACCCTAGACGCTGTGGTACACGTATGCAGCCCTTGCATTGCAGTTAAACCGGTATGAACCCGAAACACGAAGCCCCTAAAACATGTATATAGTATGACAACAAAAGTCTTATTGCTCCAAAACCAAACTTTTCAACGTTTGGGATCTTATGAGGTAGTCTCATTCTGAGAGTTTGAACTTTCAAGCCCTGGGGTTTTTTGGAAGTAAGAAGTAACCTTATGGAAGCCTGTTAGAGCCCAGGGAGGACCGGTTTAAAGAGACCCAGAAATCCTTAGGTCTCCGATCCCGAACCTACCTATAGTCTCCATTGTAGTTCCTTTTCTTGGTTAACCAAAATCTCTATTATAGACCATAAAACTGGATAGCCAAAAAAAGGAACTACAATGGAGACTATAGGTAAAGACCTTCACCCAGCCTCCGAGTCTGCAAAAGTGTCGGGGCAAGCCGAGTTTAGGGTTTGCGGTTTGGAGTTGAAGGTTTGCGGTTTGAGGTTTAGGGTTTAGGTTTGGGTTTGGGGTTCAGGGCACACTATGGGTTTTTGGAGTTGAGGGTGTGCGGTTTGAGGTTTACGGTTTAGGATTTGGGTTTGGGGTTTGGGGCATACCACATATGGGCTTGACGGCTCAGTTTACGGATCGGGGCGCCGCAGGTACTTGTTTGAATTGAGCACGTCCAGTTCAACCCTTGAACCCTCCAGCATTAAAGCATCAGGAAGCCTATGACAACGCAAGAACTTATCAGTGCGAGACTGCTAATATGTTGCGGAAATCCGAAAGACTCCAATTGTCTAAACGATCTAATTGCATAAACGACCCGAAGCCCCCAAACCCTAATTTCTTAGACCCTAAAACCCCTTGTTGCCTAAACCTTAAACCCTAGGTTCCTACAGCCTACACCTTAATTTCCCAAACCCTAAACCCCTAAACCCTAAACCCTAAACCCTAAACCCTAAACTCCTAAAGCCTTAAACCTAGTTTCCTAAACCCTGAACTCCTGAGGCGCTAGACCCTAATTTAATTAAGGTTTAGGGTTTAGGGTTTAGGGTTTAGGGTTTCCTAAACCCTAAACCCTACTCAGCTCTAAATCCTAGTTTCCTAAACCCTAAACCCTAAACCCCTTCAATGCTCCCAGGTTTGGCAGTCGATTCCTAGATGGAACGAACGGTCAGTTTGGAGTTCTGGAGATGCCCGGCCATTTGTGGTTTCGAGTTTTGAGTTTCGGTGTTCAGGGTTTAGGGTCTATGGCTTCAGGTGCAGGGAACGGTTTGTTGTTATTGGCTCATACAGGTTTTTATTTCTTCTTCCAAGGATTTGATAAGGGCATTTAGGGACCCCTTGAGAGTTCCAAGGGCTTTATTGTAGGGTTTAGGGTTGGCTTTGGGTATCAGGGTTTCAGGGTTTGGGTTTTTAGAGTTTTGGGGTTTGGAGTTTACAAGTCTAGGGTCTTAAAGTATCAGCTGACGCAGGGCCATACAGTGGTATACGTAGCTTGGGCTTTGTAGTGGTCATGCCTTCCCCTCAGGCTCCATGCCGCCCCAAAGCCTCATCTAATCAGCCTTTACCTTATCCGTTGGCCGAAAGCTTGAATTCATGGATGCTAAGGCCCATAATTCTGGTTTCACTTTTGTTGCCTTTTTAGTCGGTAGGGTTGTTTTGCTTTTTGGGGGTTCCAGGCTATGGGGTTTCCTGTCTTGGGATCCGAACAGTGACTCAGGGTGTGCGTAGGATCTTGCGATTTAGTATAACCACGGTCTGCAGGGCATAAACTCTTCACAGCTAGGAAGACGGAGGAGGTGTTGAGGGCTTGTCTTGCTTCGTGGCTTCAGTGCACAAGCCGCAAAGGCGGGAACCCCGAGGTGGCCCTACATCCTAAACCCAACCCTAGCGGTTTCGATTGCAGGGGCAGCCGAGGGGCTTGGGTTTGGGGTTTTGACCCTCAGCCCTAAACCTCAGGCGCTCAACCCCGCAAACCCGAAATCCTCAACCTTGCACCCTCAACCCTGCAACCTAACCCTAAGAGCTTTTTGGCTTATTGGCCCCTGAGAGGAGCTATGTTCCTTTTTGCTTTACGGCGTCTTCCCACGGGGTTAATGAAGACAAGTTACTATCGTGGGTCTGAGAGGCTTCCAGGGTGCTTCTTAATTAGGGTCAGGATTGATCCCTAAACCCTAAACCCTAAACCCTAAACCCTATGATGGATCTGTTGGCTTTTCTAGGGCTGACAGGGTTTACCGGTTTCAGGTTTCACAGCGTTCAGGCTAGTTATTGTTTGAGTTAGAGGGCTTCTGGGGTTTACCTGGTTCTAACCCGAGGATGATCATGTCCACCTGCATCAGTGGTCTATTATTCTCCACATTTGCGGGGCAGCCCTTGTCGATTCTTGGAGCAACGGGCCCTTTCTTGGCGTACACACTCGTCGTCTATGACCTGGCTACAGGCGCTGACATTGAGTTCATGCCCTTCTACTTCTGGACATGCATGTGGTGCTCCCTCTTCACCATCCTTTGTGCAGTTTTCGATCTGTGTGCTCTTATGAAGCATGTGACAATGTTCAGTGAAGATATCTTCGCTGGATTCTAGATCTTGTTCAGAGACATTTGCGTTTTTGGTTTTCTGGGGTATAGGAGAGCTTATTGAAACATGCAAAGGCGGTTTTTCCGAGAGGTTTACTGAACCGCTTAGGATTGATTTCTCTCATCTTCATCATCGATGGAGCCCGACCCCTCATCGAGAATTTCTCAGAGAATGTGATGCCCCTCACCAATGCCATGTTCGAAATGCTGCTCTTCCTCCTGACCTTCGGAGTGGCGACATATCTGTCTCACTTCCGCCGCAAGCCTTGGGCGCTCCGGTCTATCCGTAATCTCCTCGCCAACTTCGCAGTGACCATCGCCCTCGTGCTCGCCTCAGCTGTTGCTGCCATCTATTCCGGTGAGACCAACCTGCGGATGTTGCAGGCGGGCCTGTTTCTGAAATGGGAGTCGTCGAAGGGAGATTAGGGTAGCTTCTGGAACTCATCTTCCGTGTACATCACCATGTACTTGTCAAGACAGCAGCAGTCGAGATCCCGAAGCCGCCCCTCTCTCGATAAAGCTGGGGCGTGGATAATGTAGGGGCCGTAATAATTTAGTATGGAGTTTGGGGGTATAGTATACTATAGTTATAATAAGGAACACCACAACCCTATTCTAATCATGAAGGCCCCTACAGTAGCTAGAGTAGGGTTGTGGGGCCATTGTACGACATTGGTCCCATGATACACTTTTGGTGGGGACGACAGGGTTTTCCAATCCCTATATAAGCTATATAAGCATCCCCAGGTGGATGCAGACTTGTCGCCGAACCTGGTCCTTGCCGACGGAAGCAGCTTACTGGTGCTTAAGGGTGTGTTGGGAGAGTGGATTTCTATAAGCAGTAGTAATCTAACAGTCCCTTTAGAATCCGTTGTAATTAGTACCTAAACCCTAGATCCTAATCCTAAATCCCCGAACCCTAAACCCTAGACCCTGCAAAAACTACACCCTGAAGCCTAGCCTATTCCTGTCAGTCCTTTAGTCCTTATATTCCGTCTTCGACTCTGGCTTAAGGCAGCCCCAGTCCGATATAGTAGTCCCTACATTCCTTTCATAACTTTCCTACAAGCCCTAAACCCTAACTTCCTTAAGCACCCCTTTAAGGCAAGCGGCCTTGGATCGTAAACCCGGCGGGCATCGACAAACCCTTCCCGGCTTGGGGCATTGCCTTCGCTATCCTCCCGGTGAGCGTGCTTGAACTTTAGGGTTTAGCGTGGGAAGGGGGCTTCAGGGTCGACTACTATAGGGCCCTTAAATAATTACCTATACTAGTTGTGGGGGTTCCTCATTATAATTATAGTATAATGGGCCCCAAACGGCTATTCTAATTATTAAGGCCCCTAAACTAGGGTTTGAGGATCCTTCCTTCTGCGGTTCCTGTTTGGCAATGCGGGTAAGTGTTCAAATTCGCGGAATTAGGGTTTAGGGTTTAGGGTTTAGGGTATCTCGGTGAGACAACCCAGGCCATTGGCTTCGCGGTCTTGGGCTACTTGGACCAAAACCTCACATCTGTAATCGTGAATAGGCCTTCTAACGGCCTCTCTAAGCCGCCAGGGTATCATCTGGAGCCTCGGTGGCAGCCGAGGATTACTCTAACCTTTTTATGATTTTGTTAAATGGCAAGGTGGAAGGTCTAGAAGTTGCAACCCAGTTCGTTCCTTAAAGGGATCCCAGGTCCTTTAAAGGGATCCCAGGGTTCCTTTAAAGTAACCCTAAACCCTAAACCCTAAACCCTAAACCCTGAACCCTAAACCCAGGACCTGTTCGTGCGCGGAGCACTGACTCTGCCCGCCTGCGCTGTGCTCGGCCTGCCCCTCTCCGTGGCCTCGACGGTGCCAAGCATCACGCACCCCTTTGTCATAGTTGGGGGTTTAGGGTTTAGGGTTCAGGGTTTAGGGTTCAGGGTTTAGGGTTCAGGGTTTAGGGTTTAGGGTTCAGGGTTTAGGGTTCGGGGTTTAGGGTTTAGGGTGACATTTTATGTTTTTCATGGGTACTTGAACCCAATAATTAAGGAATGCAAATTTAGATTTTTAATCCTATCCCAACCATGAACTAGGCACGTGATCTCGCTGACCACCTACGACGTGCAGGAGATGCCAGGTGGTGAGCGCAAGGTGCCCACGAAGGTGGTGGAGAATCTGGGTTCCTGTTAAGGAGTTTAGTTTAAGTCACCATAATAAGGACACCTAAGATTTACCATAGATCCCTGTTTATGGTAGCTGAAACTAAATCCCTAATATTTACCATAGATCCCTATTTATGGTAGCTCAAACTAAATCCCTTAGCAAGAACCCTGAGCCCTAAACCCTAAACCCTAAACCCTAAAACCCTAAAACCCTAAAACCTTAAACCCTTAAACCCTAGACCCTAAACCCTAAACCCTACACCCTAAAGCCCTAAAGCCCTAAACCCTAAAACCCTAAACCCTAAACCCAGGACCCTAAACCCTAAAACCCTAAAACCCCAAAACCCTAAAACCCTAAAACCCTAAACCCTAAAACCCTAAAACCCTAAACCCTAAAACCCTAAACCCTAAACCCAGGACCCTAAACCCTAAAGCCCTAAAACCCTAAACCCTAAAACCCTAAAGCCCTACAACCCTACAACCCTAAAACCCTAAACCCTAAACCCAGGAATCGTCTGACGAACTTCCTCATCCACATCCTGGTGGGCTGCGCTCTCTTCCTGGCGCCTGCTCTCAAGTTCCTGCCGCGCTCCGTGCTGCAAGGCTTAGGGACCCAAAAAGCGCATTCGGGTTTAGGGTTTAGGGTTCAGGGTTTAGGGTTTAGGGTTTATAGGGGTATCCTTACCTTATTGGGGTTCATTCTAAGGGTTTTTTTGGGGCCTTAAAGGCGTCTTCTTCTACATGGGCATTGCGAGCTTGACCGGAAACAACCTCTTCGACCGCCTGAAGCTCTGGCTGATCTGGGACTCCTCCAAGTACCCACAGCGCCTTGCCTTCCTGGCGAACTCCTATGACCCAGAAGGTTAAGCTAAAGCCTAAACCTCAAACCGCTAGGATTTCCCGTGTGTGCCGCTTCCTGGAGAGCTTCACGCCCTAACTAGAACGTTCTCGATTCTTGACTTTAGTACCCCCCATTGTACGGCCCCAGGAGGCACAAAAGCTACGACTACGATTCTTAAAGGGCCTCCAAGAACGACCCAGCCAATTCCGATACTGCCTGTTAAGATGTCAGGCTTTCCGAAGAGGTAAGTGCCCCCGTCTGCCGTGGTACTTCACGCGCCAGTTTGCAAGAAACAGACGGAGTGTAAGGGCGACTGTTTGTATGGGAGTGCGTTGGTGTGTATATATCCATTTATGAATGTGTTCTGTACGCGTGTGATCCTTGCGTCTATCTGTTAATGGACCCGCTGTTCATGCAGAAACGCCCATGTCACTCCCACAGTCGATCTCCTAGCCCTGCACCCTTCAAGGCGCTTTAGCTTTTATCATAGGCCCTACACCCTGAAACCTAAGCCCTAAACCCTAAGCCCTAAACCCTAAACCCTAAGCCCTAAATCCTAAACCCCAAACCCTAAACCCAAAGCCCTAAACCCTAAACCCTCTAAACCCCAGACGCAGTAAACCCTACACCCCAAACCCAGTAAAACCTACAATTTTTCATCATAAGAACGAGTCCTTGGTAGGATGCCGGAGACTTTGTCATGAAGTGTTCGAGCACTATATTGGGGTTTCCGAAAATTCGGGGTACCTTGTTTTAGGGGCCTGATAATAAGGATCGTACAATTTAGGGGTACTATATTAGGGTCCCCGATTTTCGGAAATTCCTATATAAGTTCACAGACGGCCCCTATCAAAGAAGAGGGTTTAGGTTTTCAGGGGTTTAGGATGCGTGTCAGCAGAAACCTTTTGGTGTGCTGATTCTCCCGGTGGCATATCAGGGGGCTAAGTTCGAAAGCGTCGAACTACAGCATGGAATGCATACGGGTGGTTGTGAAAAATATGGTCCCTTTTTGGGTCCGTATAAAAATGCGGCACCTAATATTTAGGGTACCCAAAAAGGGACCATAATTTTGACAACTACCCATATACATGTCATGCTTTGGGATTGGTGTACATAAGGTACCACTACGTTCGGAAGCTTCCCATCAAGCGGGTGCACCTGTACACCCTCGTTCAGGCGGGAATACACTCGCTTCGAGTTGCTCCTGTATGTTCAGCTGTTAACCCCAAGGCTTCAACCCTACTTGGAGGATCGGGGGACTTAGTAAGTAGTTAGTAAGTAGACCTATAAGTACCCTAAAAGGGGGGACCCTAATTGGGGTTATGGTACTTATAAGTCCCTAAAATAACCAGCTACTAAGTCCCCCGACCCTCCAAGTAAGCCTCAAAGCCTCAACTTGAAATCCTAAACCCTAAGCCCCTAAACCCTAAACCCTAAACCCTAAACCCTAAACCCTAAACCCTAAACCCTCAACTTGAAATCCTAAACCCTAAGCCCTCCCGATTGCTGGCAACCTTGAGGCCTCTTGGTAAGCCTGAAACCCGAGCCCAGCCCTAGTCTCAAGATCTGCATCTTGAGCAGTATGTTGCCACTACCATACGGTTGATGATATAAATCCTGCATTACCCATAATAAGGAATATACCGTAATTCCAATAGTTTCGGGTCCTTAAGGCAATGCAGGATTTATATCATCAACCGTAGTACCAGTGTAGTTGGGTTAAGCATGAGGGCCTCAATCATTAGAACAGGGTTTGGGCGTTTGAAAGTGTTGCAGAAGACATAGCCCACACCGTTTGCAGTTATCTAAGTCTTGTAGGCTTGCTGAGAAGCCCTTAAGCCGGCCATACGAAATCTGAAACTTGATGAATCGCTAAATCCCATGAAGGTCACTTCATGTTCAGTCTGTCTTGCTTCAAAGCTGGACCTGGAAGAGTGTTCTGACATAACACCTTTGCCTTTTTCACGTCAGGCGCCCTCCTTCGGCTTAATCCCTGGGGTTTAGGCCACTTCTCTTCCTGCTGCCGCAGTTGTCGCTTCGGGTGTCTTGTAAGAGATAGCCGCAGCGAGCTGCTGCAAGCAGTGTCAACTTAATGAGTGCTGTCTCAGGCGGCGGGCATCCTGACCCCAAGCCCTCAGCCCTAAACCCTAAACCTTAGAACCTAAACCCTAAACGTTTTCGAAGGTCATGAGCACGCTCAGATGCAAACATGCGCGCACCATGGCTGCGCGGACACCGAAGCGGGCCAGCTTCATGAGTGGTGCTTTTCGTTCACCGGCCGCCGATGCTGTGGCTTGAGGGAGCGACCCCATGTGCCCGTTTTGCGGGCAAACAGCACAAAACCAAGGATCACGTGCTCTGGCACTGTCCTGAGATCCCAGGAGTGCGGCCGTGGCCCAAACCTCAGGATCCGCTCCAGGCTCGCTTGGGATGGCCTTCGGGAAGACGAGATGACGAGGACATACTGGACTGGGCATGTCATGTCAGGAGTGTCGTCTTGCAGCATAGATATGCAGATAACCCTTGGATGCTTGTCTTTGACACGTCGCATTTTTTTGTTTGCGTGCTTCAGTGCCGAACCTTGAAGTGTGCTACCGTAGCACCTCTGCCTTTTATCGTGTCTGGCCACCCTCCTTTGGTTTAGTCCCTTGGGTGTGGGCCCCTTCCCTTCCTGCTGCTCGGGGTTTGTAGCTTCGGGCAATTTGTTTTCCTTATAAGGGAAAAGCTGCAGCGAGCGTCAGAAGATCGATTTTTTGAAGGTCATTTGCCTTGCCATCCTCTACGGCCTCAAGGCCATCAAGGAGAACTTGTCCGTGGTTGTTGCAGGGTGATGTATGAATGGCCTTCGGGCCCTAAGCCCCCTAAACCCTAAACCTGCGATCCCAAGCCCCAAACCCTAAAGCAATAAACCCCAAAGCCATAAAGCCCTAAATCCCAAAACCCTAAAGGCCGACTTGGGGTTACTTGTAAAAGGCGTACGACAGTTTCGGATAGGTGTCTCGAGCCCAGGATTTGGGCTTTGGTTGTATAAGCATGGTTTCCGCGGGAGATGGGGTTTAGGGTTTAGGGTTTAGGGTTTAGGGTTTGGGGTGGGTTTCAGGGCCTAGGCTTCAGGGTTTCGGATTTAAGGTTTTCGGGTAAGACTCACGGTTTCAGGTTTAGCGTTTAGTTCTGGGCTGGTGTGAAGGCGCACGAACTCGCGAGGATCCCTCTCCGCCTGCAAATTATTAAGGCCCCTATATTATAGAACCCTAATCACTATAGATCCCTGAAAGAACCCTTAAAGGAACCCTTTAAAGGAACCTTGTTCTAATTTTATGAAGGCCCAACGCGCTGGCGCCCGTGGTTTCAATGTGTCCGACATTCCTGCAAAAATATGGGAGTTTCCGAAAATTAGGATTAGGGTACCTTATCTTGGGGTCCTTATAATAAGGATCCTACAATTTAGGGTACTATATTAGGGTCCCCTATTTTCGGAAACTCCCACAAAGTGGCCCGAAGACCCTCAAAGTAGAACGCCTAGATTTCCTGGATCACAAAGTGCAGAACTCTTTAGTTTTTGCCCCGAGGCTTATCCTGGGGTCCAGCCCTAAACCCTAATTCCCTAAACCCCAAAGCCCGAAACCCCTAAACCACTAAACCGTAAACACTAGACCCTGAGCAAAACCCTCAGAGCACCTCAGGAGCCCTAATCTTCGATCCTCAGCCCATGTGGGTGGTTGTCAAAAATAGGGTTCCTTTTTGGGTTGCCTAAATAGTAGGTGCCGTACTAGATTAGGGACCCAAAAAGAGACCATAAGTTTGACAACCACCTATGTATGCGAACAGTGCAGGAGACCTCCGTGGTGTTCCCGTTCTTCATGGCCTCCCTGGCGATCATCCGCAAGGCCGCTTCTATTGATTCTGTGGGGTTCGGGCTCATTAGCTAGTGGGCTTTGGGTTTAGGGTTCAGGGGGTTTCAGGGCTTAGGTTTGTGGGCTTAGGGCTTATATAGGGTTTTGAGTTTAGGGGGTTTCGATCAGAGTTAAGGTTTGTGGGCCTGGAGCTTAGCAGCTCCCGGTGGTAGAGCACCGAATAAGGCCACTGCCGTACATCACATGCCACCCTTGGTCTTAGACTTCGATATCAGATCTCCTCATCATACATGTGTACATAAATAAACAAGTATACATCTAAACATATATACATATTGGAGCCCAGCATCTCACCTCGTTCCGCCATCCCAACCGAGAGGAGCATCGACCCTTTGAAGCCATCGCGCCATTGGGCGTTTAGGTTTAGGGTTACCGGTTACTGCCGCAGAGCGGAACCGGCTGCCGTCGTACTGCGTCACATCTTAATCCTAAACCGCAAACCCTTAAAAACCCTCAACCCCTTAACCGCAACCCCTAAACTCAACCCCTCAGCCTTAAACCCCTAAACCCTCAAACCCGGAACCCCTGAAAAACCAAACAGCTGAAAATCCGTGCTGCTCTGAGCGACCTGAGCATCCTAAATCCCATGGGTCTCGGGCCTAAACCCTAAAGAAGACCTTTGTTGAGGGCTTAGGGTTTAGGGTTTGGGGTCTAGAGTTTAGGGTTTAGGGTTTAGGGTTTTAGGTTTAGGGTTTAGGCAATTCCGGCAGGGTAGAATCCGGTACGAGTACGTGAGACTACCGCCATGACTCTTGCATGCAGGCAAATGCACTAACTAAAAAACTGTGGCTCAGAACTCATCCATCATCGATCTCATGAAAAGAGCAGCGTTGGACCTTGTAGTGGCATCTTGATCAAGGAGTTTTCGGATTTCACAGCGGATACGTTTGATAGGGGCAGGAATAAGACCAAGAGCATCCTTGGCGGATTGATCTGCTTTGGAGTTGTGGTGAATCCTCCAGAGGTCCTTTGGCGAGGTGGCGCTAGCAAAGTCTCTATGAGCCTTGACCCACGTGACACGAACTGACCCAGGAGCTTTGTGTGAGAGCAGATTAGCCATCGTAGTAATAAGATCCCTGTCAGGGTGGCAGATCCAATGTTTCCTTATAAACCCATTCGCAAGCAGGTGCAGAAGGATAGTCACAACGGCAGAATTGTCACAGTAGATGTGGCATCTCGGGGCAAGGGAGATGGCAGTGTTAACAGCATACAACTCAGCACGGAAAACAGATTGTTGGTCACCCGGAAGAATACCTTTCGCCAATTCCAGATTGGTAGGGCGATCGTCCACAGCCTTTGTTACTGCCCATGAACATACACGAAGTGCATCATTCTCGTTGTCCAGAGCCGACCCATCTGTGAAAAAGGATACCTCAGACTCGTCCGTACAGACCTGAAAATCATCGTGTTGCACCTGTCCAAGGAGTTTCTTGAACTCATCAACCTTATCAAGTTTGGGGTAGAGTGCACCAAAAAGCTGGCAAAGAGGCAGATCCTTGACGTGGTCCCAAACATCTCCTGATCTCAAGTGTTGAGTTCCAGGGCAACAGTAGACACGATGAACCATGGTATCAATTTCCCCACAGAACACACAATGTTCGTCATTGTCAGCATGGACTTTGTGTTTTCGCCTGTTAGGAAACAGCCCTCCAAGACGCATCTTGTTGATGAACCCTTCCAACATGACATCCCGGTGTCTGGGTACCTGTGATCTCATCATAGAAAAGGACGCCAAGTCCACCAAATACTGCTTTTGTTGCAAGTGGCTCAAAAGGTTGTCCTCCCAAGATGCTATCAGTCTTTTCTGAAACTGGGACGTCGTAATGCTCCAAATGCAGAAGGACCAACCATCTTTCGTCTGGCATGTGCCATCAGCAAGAAGGGCCCGGTCAAGATCATGTAGCTGATTCTGAAAGATACCAACCGCCCCTTTTGTCTTGTTCTTGAAGTAGGCCTTGTGTTCCACTGATTGTTTCCACACAAGTTTGGTTGCCTCCTGGTGCTGGGAAAAGAGGCGCAAGAAAGCTTTGAACCGGCTCATCGCCACGAGGAACATAGGTTCATACATCGTCCCTGAGAACAGTGGTGCAAGAAAATGTAAGTGGTATTGCTGCTTTCCCCATATGGTGTGGTTGCATTTTGCCCTTACTTCCCGTAAGAAATCCTTTCCAGTAGGCCAGCACTGAACACCAAAGAATATCAGTGGGAATATCCCCCTTGTGAGCAGCTGTTTTTCGCTTCACGTCCCAAGGCATGTATTGTAGGCGATTGAGGAGGGTCTTGGCCTTGTTCCACCTTTGGTTCCTTTGTGCCACTGTAATCTTGTGAGTGGTCTGGAGGTTGATGCCCAGGCTCTGGAAGTTTCTGGCAAGACCAATGGATATACCTTTGTGTACCAAGTTTCCACGTAAAGCCCTGGCCGTCTTGGTCTGGAGCGAGAAAACATGCGCTTTGGGCAACGACAGAATGAGTCCCGTCTTTCTGGCAAGTGTGTCCACCAGTTGGATCGCTGAGATCAGCTGAGCAGGTTGCTTGGTCAACATCATCCAATCGTCCACATATGAGTAAATCTGTACTGAAGTTCTGGAGAATATAAAGGCCGTGAATAACCAAGTTATCAGCATCATTTGCACAACAGCGATAGGGCATCCTTCTGGCACTCCAACTTGCGACGAAATCTCTGGTCCCCAAGTTTGAGCACAAGTGAAGTGTCGCTTGAGAGATCCAAGGAACGAGTGATAAGGGGCCCAAGATTCATCCATGCCAAGTCTTCTGTTAATACATTCCAATATAGGCCTGGGTAAAGTGTTGTAAGCCTTGGAAAAATCAAGAGACACCCCAGCAAGATCAGTCTTCATCAACAGGGATTCCTCCATTTGTATCTGCACAGCTGCAGTCATATCAGCGGGACATCGACCAGGCACCGATCCAAAAAGGCTAGTGGGGAGGTGTGGCAAAATGTGGCCCAGCATTTTCTTCGTCATGATTTTCCCCCACAAGCGATAGACAGTAGCCAGGATAGTAATGGGTCTTGTCGTTGAGATATCGCCCACCACATCTGATTTGTTCAACAATGCCATCCTTGCATGGGTAATCGCCTCTGGCCAACGTCCTGATTTAGTAAACAAGTTTAACAACTCCAAGAGAAAAGGTTTGAGAGAGTCAGGCATTGTCTTGATCTCAAAGTTGCTGAAGCCATCCATTCCCTTGGCTTTTCCTGTTTGGAGCTTGCGACAGGCCCAATCCAAATCATCCATTGTGAAAGTGGCATCCATCTTCTTGAGTTCCGGAAGGGTGAATAGCTTGTTGTATCATAGCATCATCCGGAGGTTCATCACGCTTGGTATTCCAGAACTGGTTCCAAAAAGTTTTGGCCTCATGTAGAATAACACTCGGTACCGCAGAGGGTGTGTGTTGGAAAACTTCCCCAGTAATGAGCTGGCCCTTGATCTGTTTCAGGAGCGCCACTCCGTTGGCACAAGATTTGACTCTGGCTTCAGACTTTCCTTGCTTCCATACCGTACCCAATCTGACACACTGCAAATCATCATCTTGCAGTTGGCATCTCTGGAAACCTTTTCTTCGCGATCTGCATGCAGTGATGTGGAAAGGAGTGAAAACATCCAACGAGTCCACGCGTGGAGTTCCAGGGGGTTTAACAGCTTTAAAGTGCTTGCCAGCACCGAGCTTCCAATCGTCATTGAAGACTTGCGTGATGTGCTGTTGCCTATGTTTCCTACAGTGGCTTCTCCATTGAACTTCCTGTTCACGCACGATCTCAAACATCCACCTAGCATCACGCGTATCAGGTGGATGAAGTGGAAAAGCAGGGCCGACTTCTTGGAACCACCAGGTAGCAAAAGACCCAGGGAATCCTGACGATCGAACAATGGCAGTCCAGGTTGCAAGCATGGCAGAGTGGATTTTGTTCCATTGGTCAGTTCCAGTCGTCACTTCATCCAGCTTGCTCCTTTGTGAAATATACAACTCCAGTCTTCGAATCTGTCGGATCCTCTGCCTGAGGGTCAGGGTGACCTCATCTCCAGACGGGTCAAACTCACCTTTTCTTGCTCTCCGGATAGGACGGTCAACCTTCTCCGTGCGGAACAGAATCTTGCCACGTCCCTTGAACCTTGTCCCAAAATGGACAGTCTCATCTTCCAGAAAAAAGTAGTCCAGGGTGGCTTCGTAAGCCGCACAGAATGCATCCCAGGCCAATTGGGGGTCTTGTTGGGCCAAGGCGGTCTGAAGTGCATATTTGTTGGCTGCGGGCAGATAGGCATCCCGAAGTCCTTGCTTGTCCAGCTGCAGTGCATCAATATTCGCTGGTGTCCTGAGTACCCTTCTGGAAACAGGGAGGGCTGACCAGTCAAATTCCGCCACCACAGTCTTGTGATCGGTCTCAGCTTGGGTGGACACAGCGAAGGACCTGAAGGCAGGAAGGGCCTTGTCATTGAAAAGAATGTAATCAATTCTTGAGATCTCTTTGAAAGTCATCTGTGGTTCCTGGCCATCTCTGTCTTGCTGGACTAATGCAGCATCATTCCAACCATTATCTACCATGCTTTGCCAGACTGCAAGGTCTTGTACTTTGCAGTTCAAATCTCCAACAATGAGGGCAGGGCAATCATATGCCATCGTCCTCTGTACCGCCTCACGCAGGAGTGCCTCATTGTGAAAATCTGCATCCTGTAGTCCATGGTGGTATCCATAGATCGCAACCACAAGGATATAGCCATGTTGGTGTACCAAGAGCGAGTCCACCACACGGCTCGTTTCCCAGCTGTCCTTGGCCCAATGTTGAAAGGGTGGCCTGAGAGGCACTACAGATAGGATGGCCGTGCCACTCGCTTGACCTTTGGTGTTGCAATCTCGGTTGTCAATGAAGCCCCTTTTTCCAACTGGTTTACTGCATGCCAAGTGCTTGCCTTTGGAGTGTGCCATCTTCGTGGCTTTCTGCTGGACAAACATGGTCGCTGCTGTTTCCGAAAAAACCACAACATCGTGGGGGTTGCCACACATCCGCCCATCATCAATGAAGGCATTGAGGGATTGGGTGTTCAGGGCAGCAATCGTCATCGGTCCGGGGTTGCTTGCCTCTCCAACCCTCTGCCCAAGCCATGGGTTGAACTGCAAAATGCAATTCGGTTGCCTGCTTAATTCCAAAAACAAATTAGTCCACATCATTGAATTATGCCCATCGCAACTTTTTCCAGCCTGCACGCTGTCATCCACGTTGCCATAGGTGAAAAAATCCATTGCACGTCTGCCAGCACAGTTGTTGTCGTACTGGTCTTGAAAGCCGTCTAATAGTTCATGTAGACGAATTTCTTTGGCATGACTATGTCATGCCTTCTGCTTCTTGGGCTCCTCTGCTGCTCCACTGCGCTGTGGAGAGGGTGTTCGCTTGCGGAGCTGGGACATCTGGTCCTTAACTTCACCCATCAACTCTTCCTTCAGAGAAATCTGGGCCGTCTTGAGGTCACTGTTGATTTCTTGTCTGCTCTGAAGGAGGGCATTCGTGATCGTCGCAGCATGCTGGTTGAGCTGCGAAGCAATAGTTGACGAAATGTCACTGAGGCCTTGTTGTAGCTTGTCATTGACCACTTCCTGCTTAGCATTCTGGGCCTGGACCGTTTCCTGGAAGGCTCGGAAGTCCTCCTTGAGGATGGCGTGCGCGGACTTTTGTTCGGCATGCAACTGCTCCATCCTTTTCTGAAGCCGGTCTTCCAGCTCAGCAACACCATTCTGGTCTGGCTCCAGTTGCATCGGTCGGGTCGAGCTCGTAGGCGTTTGGCCAGAGAAGGTCCCTGGTGCACCTGCCACAATCCATGGTGCCATCTTGCCCCTCCGCCTTTGTTCTTGCCCTTGCCACTTCCCTTGGGGGACTTCTCGGTGATGAGGATGGTCCCGTGGTCGGCCAGATGGACATGGCTCGGGGGTTCATCCTCCGCTCCAACCAGCCAAGTTCTTGGCTGGACTTGCCTGATTGCCAGGCTTTTCCAGTGGATCTGGTTGAGGAACTTCTGGACCTCCACTTTGGAGCAGCTGAGTGGCAGGTTTTGGACGTCGTAGTACCGGTTCATGGCGAGGTGATAGGGGGTGTCCGCGAGTGGCTGCCAATTCGGCTGCCACTTCTGCTTGAGTCGTGTGAAGTCATCCACCTTGACTCTGATGCCATATCCAGTTTTACTTCGGACGATTCCAAAGGCTTGGGGCTCTGCATTGGCAAGGACTGATAGTTCAGACACAGGTCTGTCAGCGAACCAAATGACCTTGAAGGAGGGGTCCGCCTTGTTGTCCGCACTCCTCGGTGCCACATAAATACCAGTCGCCATCGTTCTGAGGGTTGCATCCCGGAAGTCTCGCTTGATTCGCAGAAGAATGAAACATGAGTCTGCATTCTTTGCATCCTGTGTCTGCCTTCCCTGCAAGAAGAACTTCTTTCCCCATGCCGCAAAGGTTGCCTCATCAAAGCGGGGATGTGTTTCTTGATGTATTTCAGAGGTCCTTCTAGAACATCATCCCACTGTGGAACCTCCTTCCTGAGCACCTCCGCTGCCAGAATGATTCCATCCAGTTCATCCACCTTGATCTTGGCATCCTCACCATAAAGCGAAATCTTTTTGGCACCCAAGTTGATCATCTGGGCCTTGATCAAGATTCGTCGGTCCTCCTGGTTACGGCATGGAATCTCAACCTCCTGGATGGGGAACTTGCCCTTGAGCTGCATGTGTGTGCCGACAACGAGGGCGGCGAGCTCTTCCTTGGACATAACATCTTGGTTTTGAAGTAGCAGTTCTGCTTCACGTTCTGTCACCAAAGCGATGCCCGTCGCACCATGGGTCACTTTCGTGAGGGCTACAGGGTGGCCCCCCCCTTCAGTTCTGAAGAAGCTGGGCTCCAATGTCCATTGTGACCTTTCTTGCAGTGCTGCAGTCCACGGGTCATTGTATTGGAGAGGGTCATCATCAGGCTGCAGGCCCTTCGCTTTTGGTTTGTTTCGGCTTTCAGCCTCTTTCACCAAACGTGTGGAGCATGATGCTTTCAGTTGTGTCCATGGATCGAAACTAGAGTAAGCATCGCGGATGCCTCGTTCTCCTATTTGCTTTTTGATTTTTTCCACTCTCTCGTCTAAGAGGTTCTCTGGCACACCTTTTTGCTTGAGCAGGCCCTTGAGCTTTGCCATCATCCCATGCGTGCCACCTCGGACCCGGATCCGGGCGTGCGCAACGGCACCAATCGAAATCCTACTGCATGCAGAAGAACCAGCGATGGGCTTGCCCTGGACAATGAAGAAGAGTGATCCAGGTGGCACTCCCCATTCATCCTGGACCACCTGTTCCAAAGTACGAGGGTCCGCATTTGCACATGGGAGGAACTGACCTTGAAATTCCAAATAGATGGCATTCCTCATCATCGTGGATCTGGCAGGGCCATAGTTGATTGTAGGAGGAATGTTCTCCTGCAAGTTCATCTCCATCTCCCGCTTGTACTTCATCTGGTTGCACAAGCCACCTGGCCGGTCTTGGCCAAACTCCATGTTCTCTGGTTCCAGTGAGTCATGCATCCTGGGCGGTGTCAACGGAGACAGCGCCTCAAACGGGATTGTTGCCGGGAGTGTGGAGGCAATGGAGGATGGCACCGGGTTGTGATCTCCATCATCTGGGTCCTCAGATTCTCCATGAGCTCGGTCTGCATCGTCACCGTCATCAGGAGGGTCTTGGTGGTCGTCGTCATCCAGGCCTCCTGGACTGCTCTCTTCATCTTCTCGAGGAGGCGATGCTGGTGGTTCTGGTCGGCCATCAAGCTTCCGGAAGATATCCAGGTCCTTGGCATTCTCCGCCTCCGAGTGGCCATCCCATCGAACAACCAAGAGGTCTCCTGAGGAAATGTTAACTGGCCATGTTGGCACCGTCTTGCCATTCAAAGTAATCACATCTGGTGCTCCACTGTGGTGGGGGCTCCATGTCATCCTGAGGCTATGCCAGTGCAGCTGGGATGGCAACCAGTGGGCCTCTGGTAGTGCAGTATCCACAAGTAGCAGGGCCACATCATGTCTGGTCGGCACTTCACCTGCAATGATCCAGTTCTCGGTCTCCTGGGTTGGTTCAGACATCTTCACCAGTGCAAGGTCCAGGGGAGGGATAGCCAAGAACTCAGCCACTTGTTTGATGGCATCATTGGTCCTCTCAGAGGGCTGGAGGTAAATCCAAACACTGCCACCTGCGACTGGAAAAAGCCTGTGGGGCTCACCATCCTGGTCCTCGTCATCTGATCTGAGCTCTTCATAGATCACCCTGGTTTGCTCAGGTAGGGCCTGAGGTTGTCCCTGGCTCCTTCTGAATGTGAGGTTGTCCAGCTGCACCTTCTTGGCAATGAGTCTGTTCCTCAATGCACCATTGATGCTCGTAGCAGCCTGGTCTCCCTTGAGGGTCAAGATTGACCATCCATCACAGTCAAAAGGCTCCAGGAGGTCGAAGGAGACCCAACTGTCGCGAAGTTCCTGCAAGCCTTCCAAGAAGAAGCGGGCCATCTCATCATTGCTCATGGGGTCTTCACTCCTGTGTCCCAGAATTGAGACCAGGATCCTCATTGCCTGGGAAGGAGTCAAGCTTTCAGCCAAGAGGAGGTAGGCATCATCTTCAAAGGCCGGTAGGATTGTCTTCCCGGAGAAGCCAAAACACCTAAGGGTCTCCCACTTGGAGATCGTCCTTGCCCCGGTCCTTCCCACAGGCATTGTAGGGCAAGTACACGCCCTTCTTCTTCAAGGTGATCCATGGCAACTCATGGACTGTGGCATAGTTGGACGGAATCATCGGCAGTGGCTGCGACTGGTCCACCATACGAATCTCGAAGGCCGATCCTGGAAGGCACCTTTGCCAGGGAGGCAGCAACTCTCTGCTGGTGATTTTGGTGAAGCTATCACCTTTGATTCTCAGGTTTTCCTCCAACTCTTCCGGCATGTGGGTCCACATGGATCCGTGGCATGCAAGGTGGTTCTGGGGGAGGAGCTTCACCATGTTGAAGAAGGCACCGGCAGCCGGATAGTCAGCCGAGTTCCAGAAGATCATGCAGAATCTGTTGCGATCTGCTGCCGTGTGTTGGGCCGCATCCACAAAGCCTTTCCAGAGGCATCTGTATCCACACCAGGCCAGGATGTCCTTGATCAGCTGGAGGTCCTCATGGTGAGCAGCCCTCGGCACTGTCTCCAGAACAAACACTCTCCGCTGTACCAGCCTGAGTACCAGAAACATCTGCCACCATCCCAGGGCCTTTCTGCCCTCAGCAAGGCCATTGTTCCCATTGAGGAAGGGGAAGAACGGAGGCGAGGCGCATATCACCTCCACGTTCTTGTCGTGGGTCCCTCCCAACCATCGGAGATCAATAACATCGCCCCAGAAGGCATTGAAGGTCGCCTGGTCCCCAACTCCAGAGAAAAGCACTGCATCGGGGTCGTTCAGCAATACACTGGATATGCCAAAACCATCATTGTCGACTCTCATGGCAATATCCATAGGCAAGAACTTTGAGGCCGTTGCCCACCCTGACATGCCGCCACAAAAGAGTTCCACCATTGTAGCCACAGCGTCCGTGCGGGTAGGCAGCAATACCGATGCTCTGCACTCCTGGAAGTCAGGGAAGACGATGCACTGCTTCCTCTCCGTGTCCTTCTTCACCTTTGCTCCAATCAACATATATACCTGGCCAGCTTGGACCTTACCAGGGAAGTTGGTGGAGTCAAAGAAGGATCTCTCCCGCGGTCTGGGGCTTCCTCGCTTCCAAGCCCTCCTTCATGACATTTGACAACATCAAGTTCACGATTTCCACCTCACCATGGTGGGAAGTCTTTGTCGTCAAGACACGGACCGCCACGTTTATCTCATCCTCCGCACTCGTAAAGCCCACTTCATAGCAGGTCACGAAACCTCTGGAGCACAGCACTTCCAGTTTGTTCGCCACAGAGGAAGTGGCAAAACCATCCAGCACCGCTTCCATGCTCGAGTGTCAGCGGAATCCGCTCTGCCGCTGGAAGGCCCTCGAGCCCAGAGCTGTTTAGGGTTTAGGGTTTAGGGCAAACTTTCCTAACTATGAGCCGCGTGGCTTTCAGAACAACCGCACGGAAGCATAGGCTCGTTCTTCAGAAGGTAGCTAAGTGAATAGTTTTAGTAAGAATAATAAGAATACTAGTAGTGATACCGTAATAATATCTATAATAACAAAAATCGAGACGTGGCGTGCCGGTTTCCGTTGCTTGCTGTTCTAGAGTATTGCAGTACTGCTATAGTATTAATGACAACATCAGTAGTAACCCTGAACCTAAATCCTAGATCATGGTTCAAGTGCACTGATGGTAATTCTTGGAAACCCTACACCCCAACCCCTAAAAGCAATCCGAGTAGCAATAAGAAGCCCAATAGTTGGAAACCTAATAGCCTCAATCCTTACGAGTAATGTATAGGGAATCTCAGCAGGTTTTGGCCTAAACCCTAACCCTAAACCCTTAACCCCTAAACCCTAAACCCTAGACTGTAAACCGCTTTCCAACCTAACCGGGTTTACTGTAATCTCACTGCTGCCACCAGCTTCGGGGATCCGATCCCGAGCCGGGGACTTGAGGATTCGAAACTTACTTGGAGGATCATGGGACTTAGTAAGACACAGGGGCCTTTGAGGGATCAAAGTTAGGGCTAAGGGCCCCTTTAAAGGATCTATAGGGGGATACTAAGGGTACTATAAGGGTTTAGGGTCTACTTGGAGGATCATGGGACTTAGTAACTAGGGTTACGATTAAGGTGACTATACTTACAATTACTTATACCCCCAATTAAGGTGCTTATAACCATACTTACTAAGTCCCATGATCCTCCAAGTAGGGCTCTGAGCAGGAGGATGGCTTGCGTCCCTGGGTTTTCAGTCACCTTTGGGGCTTTGTTGAACCCTTATGGAGTTTCCGAATTTTAGGGGTAGCTTATTTTGGGGGTCCTTATAATCAGGATCCTACTACTTAGGGTACTATATTAGGGTCCCGTATTTTCGGGAACCCCCATTTTGGGTGTTGAGTTCATTTTGGATTTGGGTTCCTGGGTTGCAGGGTTGTGGGTTTGGGTCTGAGGGTTTGGGAACATCGACCTTGCTAAAGCTTTCCGAGTTTGTGCAGACACCACGGTGCTCAGGGCCTGGTCACATGGTTGTGCCATCTAAAGTGGAAGGCTTCGTTCCCTGGGCTCTCAACGCCAAACCCCAAATCCCAAATCCCAAGCCCTGAACTCCAAACCGTGAACCCTAAACCCCGAACCCCAAACCTGTGGTGCTTGAATCCAAACTCACGACGCCAGGACGGCGTGCGCCTTAGGGGTCTTCCCCTCCTCTTCAGCTTTTTTTAGGGTTTAGGGTTCGCCCTAAGGCCCCTATGGGTAGGGTTTAGGGTATGGGAAGAGAGGCCTGGTGAGCAAAAGCAGGCAAAGAGCTGAAAGCCAGAAGGAGGAGATGCGCCAGTCAAGAGAGATATGTGTTTGGTTGTCACAATTAGGGTCCCTTTTTTGGGTACCCGAAATATTAGGTGCCGTAAACTAATAAGGACCCAAAAAGGGACCCTAATTTTGACAACCACCCATGTGTTTGGGGTGCTGGTTTAGGCGGGGTCGTCCAGCTCATCCAAGGGTAATAGGAGGGACCCTTAATAAGGACCCCTAGGTATATACCCTTAATATAGCCATTATATACCCATTATATAGCCATTATAGGGTAGGGGTCCCCATTAAGGGTCTCTCCTTTTCCCCTTTGAGCTCAGTGTCGAGCAGGTCCCTCCAGTATCAGGCCTAAGTTCCTCGCAGGTACCTGCCTGGTTTAGGGTTCAGGATTTAGGGTTCAGACCTAAACTCCTAAACCCTAAACCCCAAACCCTAGTTTAGGGTTCAGGGTTCAGCCCTAAACCCTAAACCCTGAACCCTAAATCGTAGTTTAGGGTTTAGGGAGTGGACGCTGTGGCAACGGATCGAAGCTCCGACGTCGGCAAAGCATTTTGTTGCGCTTGGCGGAGACATGAAGCGGACCGATAGGAGGCCTCAAAACGTGGGATGAAGGTAGGTGGGATATTCCCAAGTGAGAGTCCTTATATAAGGGATCCTTGATCCTACCCACCTTCATCCCACCTTTTGCGGCCTCCGAACCGAAGCATCGGTATGGGCCGAAAGACTCGGCGACTGAAATCTGAAGGGCCGAAGCCCTGCAACGCCCTGCAATCCGAGCTTAGGGGTGTGGCGGTTTAGGGTTTAGGGGTTTAGGGTTTAGGGGTTTAGGGTTTATGGGTTTAGGGTTTAGGGGTTTTGGGTTTGGGGGTTTAGGGTTTAGGGGTTTAGGGGTTTAGGGTTTAGGCTTCGGAAAAGGAAACGAGACATCTTAGTCCTGCCCGCAGGGAATGCGGTTCATGTTCACCGATGAGGAGCTGAAGGAGCTGGATGGCCTCCCCGGTGCGGAGGAGGAGGAAGAAGAGGAGGAGGTGTCCGTTTCAGGGTTGTGGGGTTTTAAGTTTTGGGGTTCGGAATTCAGCTGGGGTGGCTTTCCGTGTTTGAGGTGTAGGGTTCAGACTACAGGAGGGACGGAGACGGCAGGCAGGATTTCATTCTTCCAGGATGGTGCGCACTTTGCAGGGGGGCTTTGCCTATTCTGGCCAGTTAGTACACATGCATGTAGGGTTGTTTGCTTAAGTGACCTAGATGTTCGCTGCTCTGCCGTTCTCGCACTAGCCCTATCCCTAGCCCTAGCCCTAACATCACTAGCGCTAGCGCTGGCACTAGCACTTGCCCTAACACTCGCACTCGCACTACTAGCACTACTACTGGCACTACTACCAGCACTACTACTACTACTACTACTACTACTACTACTACTACTACTACTACTACTATTACTACTACTACTACTACTACTACTACTACTGCTACTACGTAGCAGTATACTACTAGCACGAGTACTACCACCACCACCACCACCACCACCACCACCACCACCACCACCACCACCACCACCACCACCACCACCACCACCACCACAACCACCACAACAACTACAACTCCTACGACGACTCGTACGGCTCCACTCCTACTGTTCTGCTCCTACACCTACTGCTGCTCCTCCTGCTGCTACTCCTGCTGCTGCTCCCACTCCTCGCTCCTTTTCCTTCTTCCTGCTCCTCCTCCTCCTCCTCCTCCTCCCTCCTCCTCCTCGTCCTGCTCCTCCTTCTCCCTTTGCTCCTCCTCCTGCTGCCGCTCGTACTTCTGCTACTACGCTGACGAATCATAGCAATAACATACGACCAGCACAAATACCACGACGAGAAACCACACAAAAATCCGACCCTAAACCCTAAACCCTAACACCCAAGCCCGGACAGGCACCGAAGCCGGACCTGCTGAACTTGGACGGCAAGGACCGACATAGCTTGGGGGCGTGGCCTTCTTTTTTACCAAAGACCCGGGGGGGGGGCTCTTCTCTACCAGGGCTTCCTTTAGTTGTTGTTTCGGGTTTTCTATGGTGTTTTGCGATTTTGAAGGGAGGTTTGTTTCTGTAGGATTTTTGGGGCTTGGGTGTTAG